TTAAAATACATCAATAATTGGCATAACCATGAAGCACAGTTTGCAGGTTCTAAGATATAAATAAAAAGTAGGAGCCCAAATTTTTCCAGGTTTGAGAATAATTTTTAAATCTTCCCTGACTTTTTTGATAATTTTTTCATATTCCCAAACTTTTCACATTTTTACAGGTTCACGGCCATCCAGCAATAATAACCAGCAGTGAAGCATCATGGGAATGAAATATGGTACACAAATGAGAGTTTCAAATATGCTGGCTACTTACAGTGCTGATATTCAGATCAGGGTATAACAACTTTAGTTAGGTCTCATGTTTGCAATGGACAATCTTTGCACTTAAATTTCAGAATATTCACAATTTCTATAAAGTTGGTAGGCTCTTAATTAGGGTTATAAAAATGAGATCATAGGCATTAGTGACTTGTCTAAAACCAAACACTGAAAATACTTAATTCTTTCCAAGTTTTGTTTACAATAGTATAATCTGAAATTATTAGAAATATTTATATATATATATTTATAAATGAGTTATACTCTTTCCAAATGGGCTCTTGAATTACATTTTAAATAACTGATTGTAAAAAAAAGAAAAGACAGCTTATGTGGTCTTCTACTATATTGTCATATTTGCCACACAAAGTCAACTAAGAATATTTAAGTTGTCCATGTTACACACCCATTCCTCCCACCATTAAATATTAAATTTCTTCAAATGATAATCAAAGTATCTTAGTGATTTACCATTGAGGTTTTCCCAAAATTCTGTCCAATGTATTCAACATGTTTTCATAATGATTCAGAATAACTTAATGAAGGTGCATTAAATTTGTAAAAGCCCATAATATACTCTTCTGGGAAAAAAAGCTAATAACTTCCAGAAAAGACAAAGAAAGCAAACTTAAAACATAGTATGGAAAACAATATGTGCATTTTATTTGGCTCAACCATAAACTTTATTGTAAATTAGCATTTAAATGGTTAAAACACACTCCTAATATTAAACTATTCTACACTATTGCAAACATTTGTATACAGACAAGAAGCAGAATATTAAGAATAATTGCTTTCTATTTTGATATCTCCAACGTTAGGAATTAATATAATCACTTTCTTATCTTAGTGAATTCCCATAAATACCAGCTTTCATCACTTTCTTCCTAGTGATGATGTAGTAATGTCATTTTTGCCAAGCATTATATGTAAGATAGTTCAAGGTTAGCAATAAAGCTTTTCATTTCCATCAAGGTTAATGGGTTTTGATATCTATGCAACTGAGAAGCCGAGCCATGCTTTGGGTTTATAGTGTCATTTGTTAGCATAGAATGATAGTATATTTTTATCATCTGGGTTCTATTCTCTGTCTAGCTACATGAACAAAATTATATTAATTCATATTTGCTACTATAAACTCAGAAAAAGATTGCATGTGTGTTAATTGTAGAAAAAAGAACTCATTACTTACAAATATTAATAGCCTCAGACAGGTATAACAAAAAAGGAAGATGTATGAATAAGTTAACAACTGATTATGATTTACCCTTGATTACCATAAAAAATGTAAAAACACAAAGTACCTTTAAGCATCTTAACTGCAACAACTGTTGTTGTTTCAGCATCTCCTAATCCAACAGCTTCTGCCTTCACAACTCTTCCAAAGGCTCCTTGGCCTAATGTTTTGCCTAAAGAATGAAATGTCTGTTGAGTCTTGATAGCTTAGTACTCATTATGTATTTTTTAGCACTTGGTTCTTATATTGCATTAAAAACATATGTTTAATTTAAAATTATCACTAATATTTTTGTCAGGTTTTATGTGTTGGTCAGGTTATTTACAGTAGGTGTTTGTGACTTGTTGGCAATAGATTTCAACAAACAGTATATAATCCACTTGTTTTAAAATAATATATTAAAACAAGTGAAATGTATATACAAATGATCGTTACACTGTTGGTTACCAAAATTTTATCCACATCTTTAAGTAATTGTCTTATTTTCATCAAAGTCCACATACACTGGTTCAGTATCTTTAAAACACAATTATGCTTCCATACTCTGTTATTACAATACAATCTGTGATAATTTAATCTTAAAAATCACCACTATATGCTCTTTATGGCTAAACTCACAATCACACAGTCTAGATCTATCTATCAATTGACTAACTTGAACTACATTTTAGATGCATATTTATAACCCAACACAGGCCTAGAACATTCCACACACTGTGAGATATTACAGTGTAATAATACTCAATTTAAAACAACGATAAAAACTTACAAGGTTCTAGTAACATGAAACAATAATACAACAATCACCAATTCACAACAATTGAACTACACAATGTATGAATCGAAAATACTTACATAAACAAACCTGTGACAAACTATCACTTCTAATCAATAACTAAATCTAATACTCATGTTATACTTAAACCATCTAAACTATAACACTCACATTAAACTTAAACAGTTACATATCTCTAATAATTTTCAATTACAAAAAACTTTATACAAATATTATACATAGGATATACATATAGATATTAGACATAGAAATAAGTATGTTCAAACAGAAAACTAACTATTATTATAACTATTCATTACTAATTATAACTACACTCTTTGAACTAAGTTTTATTTAAACATTTGGTGTAAGAAGACACAAGAAAAAGATTAATGTAAATAGGTTTAGCAGTAGCACAATCACCTCTATCAGATATACTAAATGTAAATCTAACAGTGATTAGATATGGTCACAGTAAAATAGTTAAAATGGCATTTTTATGGTCTCAACCTTTGTACTTTTTAGATTACAGTAAAATGTTTCAGGTTTTTATGAGAGTATAATGTATTGCACTTATTATGCTAGCCACTATTTAGTTTTATTACTTAGAATCTCTATCGGGTGAAATTTTTTGAACATCCTTAACTTCAAATGCAGTAATGTTATCAAAGCTAAAGATGTAAAAATTTCAAGTTTATAGATGAAAAGAAAAAACGGAATGCATGATTCAAATCTTAAAACCTCAAAGCTTCTTAATGACAAACTTCATTCCAAAAGTTATGTGCAATTAATCTGCATTATTGTAACATTATTCCAACAGAACTGAAAATTATAATTAAAGATCTTGTCAAGAATTCTTATGTGAAATTGGTATGTTTTTCTAATTATTAGCAATAATCATGATCAAATTGGTGAATATCATGATCAGTAGCAACTTTGTAGAAAAAGCTTTCATGTTAGCTGTACATCTCAGAGTGAAATTTTATCTAATCTACAAAATCATTTAATTATACATAAAAAGGTGTCCTAATGGCTATAAGAAATGAAAAAAAGTAAATAATGTTAGCATTGTTTCACTGTTGTTTTTACATTATAAAGCTACACAATGGACTATCTGTGCTTTGTTCAACACGAGGAATCAAACCCCAGATTTTAGTGCTGAAAGCCAGAAAACTTATGACTGACCCACTGTAAGACTTGTATCACTAAAATACAGCCAAGCATATATTAATTCTTTTATTTTTACTATTGAACAATTTATAATGAATAATGTATAACACTATGATAAAATAATGTTTACTTGCCTAGTTTCAAGTTTTCTTTTGGAAATTCCCAACGATTGTCATATGGCAGAAGTTCTATCTGCTCATCCAAAGGCAAGTCAGGGTTGAACATATGCAACTGTCCATGCTCAAATTGAGCATAACTAAAGAAATCCATCTCCCTTTTTTGTTTCTAAAAACATGTTAAATGTAAGTGTACTAATTATCAACTTTATAAGTTTTAGAGAAACATAATTGTTGAGCCTCAAAACTATAGTAATCTCATGATAACATCAATTAAAGTGTTGTTATTATGTAAACTCTATTTATTAATACAGTTTTAAATAAGAAGTACTTATGAAATACATATGCTATGTTTAATTATATAATGTATGGTATATTTAATCACAAGCACGCCAACTTACTTTTCAGTAAGAATGTAGAATGAAATAAAATTGTTGACATACTTTTTCCTTATGGATCTTTTTTATCAGTACAATAGCTAAAGCAAAAAATCCAACTCCAATTACAACAAATATGACAATAATAGCTATCTGGCTGCCACTGACTTCAACTGGTGCTTCATCTAATAAGGACAAGACATAAAAAATAAATTACTCCTGAAACAAAAATAAATACTTTCATACTGTCATACATAACAGTTACAAAGTAAAAATAATGAATCTTAGTAGCTCTTACAAATTAATTAAAAAACAGCATGACAACATCAAACCATTATGCTCAAATCACATCTCAAATATGAATAATAAATGATCTAGTATATTTCAAAAATGTAACTATTAACTTCTAGAAT